CTGGGTCTATTTTTTAGGTTTACTGTGACATCTGTCCAAATAATTTCACTCGATGATGTATTTGTTTCATTTAAACCCACTACGGGGGTGTGAGACTAATGATTGATAAAATTTTGAATGTCATCAAGAATTGTGTATTCTCTGAGATTTCACTCCAGCAGATGCCCTGCAACTGGCCTTTGTCTGAAGGAGAACTACGATTCAACCATTTGCAAAGTGACTTGGGAATGAAGCCAACAGCTGTGTCCTTAGATGATGTATTAGTTACTACCACTTTCAAGTCCTTGTCACTCAAATTGCCTTAAAAATGCAGCTGAAAAGTATTTTTAAAAAGGTAGCAATAAAAACAGCGTCTGAAGATAGAAGTTCTCCTAATAATCTGGTAATGAAAATGCTGTGCACTCTAGATTTTAGGCTAGAGTGACGATTTACGCTAGTAGTAGCTATCATGGCCAAACTAGTTTGTTAAAACTAATGTGTAGTAAAGCTAGATCAAATGCCCTTATTCACACCTTGTCTGCACTTAAAATTTCATTTTTTATTTGGTAGAATAGATGTACTGCAGCTCTTTTGAATGGATTTTTCTTTATTTTCAATATATACTACTACTGCTACTACTACTAATAATAATGCTAGAAATTTCTATTCTGTGTCATGTTTTGTCCTTATACTATTTGTAATTTTAAACAACCTCCTTAAAAGTAGACATCATCCTATCATTGTTATATAGAGAAGAATGGACCGTGTAATGTTTTTATCTTACCAAAGATCCATGGTTTTATACATAGACATCTGCAAAATTAGCAAGTGAAAGAGTTAAGATTAAATCCAACATCTATCACTAAATCTCATTTATTTTGTCACAGAATTCTACCTATGTTATTGGTGGTATTTTTGGCCCTATTGATTATACATTGAGTAAATTTTCAAACTTTTAAGTACAAATTCTAGTTTTTATTAACTGAGTATTTTCATGTGTCTGAATCACATTTTTCTTAATTACAAAGTGATAAAACTGTGCAGTGACAATAAACCTGGATTATTTATATATTGCTTTGAAAACTGCTCATTACTGCTTGACATTATTTGACACATGTCAGTCTAACACAAGCAAGAAGACTTCTGGATATTCAACTTTTTCTTATCAAATGTTATTTAAAAAACTAGCATAAAATATAACTCCAACTTTCCTGAACACAGTTTTTATTATTTAAATTTTTAAAAACTTTATAATATGGCCCATTAACTTATCTTAAAAACTGGTAATTTTTCATTGCTTTATTTAAACAGTTAATCTGCTCTTTAATTGGTTTTACAAGAAAAAAGCAACTATAATGTGTACAATTTTATACACATCTCTACAAAACTAAAAAGTAATATCTACATAGAATTAACAAGCTCTGAATGGACTTTGTGTTATCACATTAAATCTGTACCAATTTTTTTTATTTGATTTTTCCATTATTAATTTTCTTAGCTCATGTTGGCTATGCAGAATAATGGGTTTCATTTTGGTTTGTTCAGCATGCAGATAATATACCTTGATTATTTCCACCCCTCCTGTATCTTTTCATTCTTCCCTCTTCTCTTCCTCTAATTTCTTTCCCTTGTCTCTGAAATCTCCTTTCTTCTTTCCTGCCTTCTTTTACAGCCCTAAATTCTACATAATTTTAAAAAATGTTATTTTTCTTTCTGACACTTATTTGCTTAACATGATGATCCTCAGTCCATTTATTTTCCTGCAAATGATGACGTTCATTTTTATGGCTGAATCATTCATATATATATATATATATATATATATATATATATATATATATGCAGTTTCTTTATCCATTATCAGTTCACAGAAAGTGAGGCTATTTCTATAGCATAGCTATTGTGACTTATGCTGCAAATCATGGGTATGCACGCTTCTCCAAAATATCCTGAGTATAATTACTTCAGGAATATGCAGAAATTAGTATAGCTGAATAAAGTCATAGGTTTTTTGGAGGAACCTCCACATCGATTTCTATACCGGCTGTGCTGCTTCCTATTCCCACTCACATTGTAGATGGGTTCCTTTTCCTTCCCATACCAGCCAGTGTTTTCATTTATTTATGTATTTATTTATGTTTAATTAATGTTATGCATATAATTTAGATATAAATAATTGTGGGAGACCTATAATTGGCCACCATGCTCTACTGCACTGGCAGCCATTTTATCGTAAGCATCCACCCTGTAAGACTAAATTTCTGCTTCCAAGATAAGTTTCCGTTTCCTCATATTCTGCCTGTTTCCCCGCAGTCACATGCCCTTCCCGGTTGGGAGTAGCCACCGTTGCCTAGCTACTCCCGCCTCTAGAACTAGGACAGCCCACCGTTGCCTAACTACTCCCGCCTTTGTCCGGTTGCTTGGTTACTCCCGCCTTAAGAACTTACGCGTTTTTCCGTGCCCTATATAAGCACGGTACTTCCCGCCAATAAATGAGACTTGATCAGAATCCTGTCTTGTCTCCATTCTTCTTGTCTCTTGTCCCTTTATCATCCCCACTCCCCCTCTAGGGTCCTCCTTGATTGTACCCGCAGGCAGGGTCAAATAATGGTCACATTCATCATAGGGAATTAGTACCTGTGCGCTTTATATCTTCGTTCTTCTTTTTTTCCCATTCCCCTCCCTTGCCGTTAACCTCTCTTCCTCTCCTTATTTATAAATCTTTGTTTCCATTTTATCCTTCTTTTCTAATTTTTCCCTTCTTTCCTCACCACCACAATTCCATTACCCGTGAGTGTATGTGTGTGTGCGTGTGTGTGTGTGGTGTGTATTCTTAATGTAGCAGTCCTGACCATGGAAAAATATAATCTCAGTGTATTTTTGATTTTCACACTCCTGATGGCTAAAGATGCTGAACTATTTTTCCTAAAGTTTTTGTTCTTTTCTACTTCCTTTGTGACTCATGTCTAATCCATCTGCTTACTTTTGACTAGGTTATTTGGATTTTTGATGTGAAGGGATTTTTGGTTTAGTTTTTGTTTTTTAAAATATTCTGGATATAACATCTGTTGAAAAGTAAGTAGAAAAGAATTACTACCGTTTTGTGAGCCATCAATTTATTCTATGAATTACTATCTTTGATGTGCAAAAACTTCTTTATTTTAATGTGATTCCATGTGTCCAATCCGGTTCTCACTTAATAAACTATTGGTATTGGATTCAGGAAGTGACTGCCTGTGTCTGCCTCTTGAAACATTTCTCCTATGCTTTCTTCTAGCAGTTATACAGTTGTAGTTCTCATATTTGGGCCTTGGCCCATTTTGAGTTGATTTCTGTAAAAGTGATATCGTAATGTACTTTTAATTTTCTACATCTGTACATCTAGATTCCCTGGTGCCATTTATTGAAGAGGATGTCTTTTCTCCAACTTGCGTGGTGTTTTGGTAGCCGTGCTAAAAATCAGGTAACTGATGCAGATTTATTTCTGTGTCCTTTATCCTATATCATTGGCCTGTGTCTGTTTTTATCCCAATATAATGCTGCAATATATTTTGAATCAGGCACTGTCATACTTTTAGCATTTTTTTCTTCTTTAAAATTGCTTTGGTTACTGAGAATTTTGTACCTCAAAATGCATTTTAGTATTTTTTAATTCTATGGAGAATTTAATTGGTGTTTTAATGGACATTATATCAAATATGTAGATCACTTTTACTAATTTGGGCAGTATAGCAATATTAATTTGACCATGAATGAACCTGAGGAGTCTTTCCATGTAGTGCCTTCTTCAATTTCATTCTTCAGTGTTTATTGTAGATTTTTTTTTGCTTCCCATGTTAGGCTTCCTTAGTGGCCTATTATTTTTTAAAGCTATTCTGAATGGCATTTTTTTTTCTGATTTCTTTCTGTAGGTTCATTATTGATGCTCATAAAAATAATAGATTTTTGTGTTTTGATTTTATGACCTGCAAATTTCCCTAATTTGTTAATTAGATATAAAAGCCTGGTGGAATCTTTAGAGTCTTCCAGGAATAGAAATATGATATTTACATATGGGTAATATGACGCCTTCCTTTTCTGTATTTATCTCTTTTCCTTCTTTCTCCTACCTTTGTATAGCACTTCAAATGTTTTATTGCATGTTTTATTACATGACTCATGAAAGTGGATTATCTTGTCTGGATCATGATTTGAGAGAAAAAATATTCAGTTTTATCTGATTATTATTTTGGTTTTTGTTTTGTCACTTATAGCTTTTATTATATGGAGGTAAGATCCTTTTATACTTAATTTCTTCCAGGCTTTTATCATGCAACAATGCTAGTTTTTTTAAAAAATGTTTTCTGCATTTATTGAGATGATCATGTGATATTTCTCTTTGAGTCTGTTTATATAGTTCTATAGTTTATATCTAGATGTCCCCTCAAAGCATCTTGCACTCATAGGTGGGGCTTTGGAAGGTGACTGGACCACGGATGTGTGATACTCATCCCTGGGTTAGTATACAGAGTAGTTTACGGCTGGGTGTGATGTTGGGAAATGAAGCGAGGGGGGGGGAGGTGGGTAACTGTGGACGTGGCCTGGAATAGTTTCATCTTTCCTCCTTTCTTGATGGCTCCATGCTATGAAGTGTTAGTCCTCCACTTTGCAGCCTTGCCTTGCTGCATATGACCTGAACCCCCACAAACTATGACCCTAACTAAACTTTTCCTCCTTTGATTTGTGGTTCCTGGGTATTGTGTTTCAGCAATGAGAAAATAACTAAGACTTACACTGTATTGCTCTTATTGATTGCCACATGTTCAACTATCCATCCCTGGAAGAAAAAAAAAAATTTGATCATGGTATATGATATTTTGATGTATTTTTAAATTCTATTTCTGAAGTAGGCATTCTTAGCTATAAACTTCCTCTTAGAATGGGCATTGGTGTATTCTACAAGTTCCGGCATGCTGTGCTTCCATTTTCATTTGATTGTAGAAATTCTCAATTTTTCGCTGATGTTTTCAATGGCCCACTGTTCATTCAAAACTATATCACTGAATCTGCAAGTGTTCTTATAGTATTTATAGTTTTCCTTGCTGTTGATTTCTAGTGGCATTCCATTATGGACTTGTAAGATTCAAGAAATTATTATTTGTTAAAACTTGCTTTAAGTCCTAAAAAATGGCCTACTATATATGGAGATAAAAATATATGGAGATAAAAAGTGTGTTCTACCATTGTTGTACAGGTATGAATCTGTTATGCCCATTTGATCTACTGTACTGTTTAATTCTGGTATTTCTTTGCTAGTGTTTTGCCCTTATGACTTATCTATTTGTGAGGGTGGGTACTGATATGACCCATTGCTAATATATTGGACCTGTTTACATACAAACCTTAAAAAAAAAAAAACAGGTGATAATAGAAAGCTTCTCTCAAGTGCCAAACCCTAGACAGTGTCATAGCCCCTTCTGTTCTTCCTTTATGACAAGCACAGACCCTGGAGAGAAGTAGGCAACAGCAACAAAGCTAGAAAAACCTTTTACTTTGACAGAACTATAGAACGACATTTCTTACTTCCAAAAAACTGAAGTCATTATGATATTAAATGCTTAAACATCAAATAAAAGCCTTATAGAGAATAGAAATAACAGAAGAAAAGCAGAAATCTAGCCTTTACAAGTTGTTGCTGCTTCAGTTCATGGCATGCCTCATGAAGACAGGGATGTGCAGATATGGGAACAAGGTGAGACCAAGGCATTCCTCGGGAAAGGGACTGTGAAATAGATAAGATGGCTGGGCACGGAGTTGATAGTACTCCATACTCTCCTCCTCCCTTTGTGAAGGCCATCGCAGTAATGGAGATTGCTAGCACAAGTGAAAGGGCACCACGCCGGGGTCATTCAGGGAGCCTGCTGCACAAATGCTATGATAAGTTACCAAGCTAGACCCTGCCTTCTCTGTCTCTCTTCTATATCCCGTTCTACATTGGGGGCTCCAGAAAGAGGAGATGACAGAGGAGTGGAAAACTCTGCCATTGTCTTCCCATTCTGTTCCTCCCACACCACACATCTCACCAACAAACAAAAGGAGAGATTTGAATCGTGGAGAAATTTACACTGTTACTTGAACTGATCCAAAAGTTACAGAAGGCACTGAAGACAACTATAAAGTACATAAAGGGGATTCCATTTGGTCCACTGAAGAGGTTCCACTGGAATAAAGCAGCAAGTGTCATTTTTACATCATTTTAACATAGTCATCTCAATTAGCTGTTTATAAAATTCTAAGAGCCAACAGGGTGATCATGTACTTTTCAAAATTTCAATCTTGTTTTTCTCAATATGCAAAGTACATGGCTTTTATCATTTATGTGTAATAATTTATAATATCAATTGGCCTAACTCAAAGAAATTGTATTTTGGGCAGAGGATGTAGATCAGGGGCACAGCACCTGCCTGGCAAGTGCAACCCTGAATTCAATTGCTTGTACCAAAAAAAGAAAGGAAAAAAAAAAAAAGAAATTGTATTTTTGTAAGTTGGAAAGATAATTAAAATATAAAGGGTTTCTGAAAATAATAATTATCCTACCTAATATGTTGAATGTATAAATGCTAAATAGTTTTACATTTTAAAATGTAATAATAGTTAATATATCAATCTTAACCAGTAGTTATTAAAATTAGACCCATTATACTCATCAGAATCTAAGGCATAAAGAACCATTCAGTGAAGATAATGGTTGACATAATAAATTTGTGACTTTGGTATATAAGTGCCCTCAATCCAGTGGGGAAATACAGTTAAAAAAAAGAAGAAGGTGTTATGATGAGCTGTAGAAGATTTGGTACATTTACTATACAATAGAGAAGTGAAAATAAGGACATAAGCATGTCCAGTGGAAAATGGAAAGTTTCATTTCATTATAATAAGGAGACAGAGAGGCAAGTGTTGAAACCGTTATAAACAGGATTAGAGTCATTTCTCACGGTGTTGTGTGGGTATCACTTTTTCGAATCCTCACTATTTTTTGATATAACACACTACACTGAAAGTGTCATCGTAGCAAGGATTTTGGAGCTTGATAGGGTAAAAGAGAGTTGGTTTTGAAAATTGTCCATTGGAAGTTCACAATAAATACGTCTAACAAGCTCTTCAAGAATTAAGCACAAGCTGAACTTCATAAGAAGACTGGAAGGGGAGGAACCATTGAGACTAATTCACCTGGGGCTTGAGCAGAAAATTTTATTTGTTAAATCCTGTGCTTAGAATGAACATGGTAATCCAAACCATCTTCCCAAGTCTTTTGAAAGTTTCCTTTTGTAATTTGTAATATTCATTGACTTTTATCGTAGTAAGGAATTAGGCCACAGACATAAATTTATCTGAATTTAGGACATTTGAGTCTAAAAGAAGTCACTAAAATGAAAAAATTAAAAACATTGATGAACCAGTAATTAGTTTGTTATATTAAAAGTCTATAAAATAATTCAATGTCAATATCCTTAAAGTAAAATTATTTTAAAAAATAAAATTAACACTGTAAATAATTAGGCAAAAGAAATACAAAGCAAAGGGAAGTAAGAAAATCATAAGCTAAGAGTACAAACTAAAATTTTAGAAAACTGAAGAAGTGGAGAAAATAAATGTTACAAAACGCTTGCTATTTATGTGATCAATTGTGTTGCTCTACTTTGAGGCAGAATCGCAGAAAAAAAGACATGATATTAGTTACTATCACCAAGGATATAGAAGGGATTTGACTATAGACTCTGAAGACATTAAAAGTGTCAGTGAGTAATCTGAATGAATCCAAAGACAGATTTTATTATTTAGATGAAATCCTTGAAAAAAACAAATTGCCAGGCAAAGGTCACAACTAGAGATCATACTCATAAGTGAAATTAATCAAACATACATGTGCAAGCACCGCATTGTTTCACTAGTGTAAATCTTGAAAGAGTTAATTTAATCTTGGAGGTATGATAGACACTGTGAAATGATAGGGAACCTTTCAAGAGTAAAGGGCAACTGGGATGTGGGAAAAGAGAAGGGAAAGAAGGAGAAATTTTGTATGTATGTATATACAGGATAATTAACATGGTTGTTCTTCTCTCTGCTATTTCTATGCTGAAAGAAACTGTCAGTGAGTCTTTGGTTGATCAGTATTGCATTTCTATATCTGTTTTCATGAGAAGCCACTTTGAAGATATCAATATGTAATACAACAACCATTGTTAATTCCCTATCACCTTGTTTGTAACTCTGTGTTGTCTGTACTGTTCTTTTGATATATTGTAAAATGTTGTCTGTCTGTTAATGTTTTCCTCTTTTTATTTTTAAAATAAAAAAAATAGAAAATAAATTTAAAAAAAACCCAAAAAAACAAAAACAAAAAACAAATTGCCACAATTTAGGAACTTGAAATAGACAATTCAAATTGCTCTATAATTATACAGATGTTGAATTCACACTTGACACATCCTGAAAAGTTACCTCCAGGCCTTGACGGTTTTACCAGAAAGTTTAACTCAAGACTTTACCAAAAAATACTATCAATTTAGTGCTATCTTTGTCAAAAAAGGGACAACCATTCCCACCTTATTTAAAGCAGCTAGTTTTAGCCTGACAATGAGTCAAAGATAATACAAAGGGAAGATAAAAACTATGGTGGCTCATAGATATTAAACTTTCCTAGCAAAATTTTACCAAATAGAATTAGGTGATATATTACAGTACCTATATAGTGTGAGCTGGTGATGTTTATTACAGAAATCCCAAGACCCTTCAATATCTGAGTATCATATTAAAGTAAGTCACTCGGGCGGCTTGAGTTTTTATTATGCTCAAGAAAGTGTCATTTCAACCAGTTGATTGTTGTATTGAATAAATCTGATATAACTGTCATTTTTATATTTCCTGTTATATTATCTTATAAAAATTAATGAAAAAGTATGCAATTTTTGGTTATCTTGTATTTAATACTAGTAAGTGATTACTAGGCCATTACATGCAGAATCAATGTTTGACTAGATTAAGCAATCATTGTCAACAATAAACAGACAAACAAAATCTCAACCTTAACAGAAAACAAGGAATAGAGAGAATTTTTTCAACTTGTTTAAAATATTAAAGATAAAAAGAAAGAAAAAATGAAAACTTACACTTAATTATTTATGACTGGTAAAAATTGAATGACTCCCTTCTTAAACTAGAAGAAATATTCACTCTCAGCACTTTTATATAACTTATCACTGGAAGTTCTATTTGGAGAAGTACATCAAAAAAATGAGATAAAATCCTTACAAATCAGAAATAAATATATAAAATGCATGAGAGTTGTAGACAACATGATTATCTATGTAAAAAGCCACAAGAAATTTTCTTCAGAAAACTCTTGTATCTGATCAGGAGTATAGCAAGGTTAAATGATAAGAAATCAATATATAAAGTCAATTTTAATTTTGCACATTCTCATTGGATGCCTGGACATAAATTCAAATTAGAACATTTATGTGTAAAGCTAACAAAATATTTACTAACAAAGCAAATAGTATACAAAGCATGTATGACAAAAACTAAAAATACATACAATTTTGGTGATAGAAATCACAGAATCTAAATAAATGAAGGAGCATAATAAGCTCTTGGATTGGAAGACTAAACAGATCAAGTATCAATTCCTTTTTTTACATAAAGACAAGATCATTCTAAATTGAAATGCAAAGAAACTAGAATAGTTAGAGCATATTTGTAAGAGAGAAATCAAGTAGAAGAGAGTAATCTATCCAATTTGTTTTATATAAATTTACTTTTTATATCATCATTCAAAGCTGGATGATAATATCAAAATTATAAAATTATAAATTTACATTTTATATGAACTTACTTTTTATATCATAATTCAAAACATAATATCAACATTACAAATTTACTTTTAAATTCACATATCTGTATGTCATTTTATCACATTTATGGTGTAACAGCTAAATGAACTTACTAATGATTTCTTCATACAAAAAATTTTTTTTCAGTACTGAGAATCGAACTCAGGACCTTGTACTTGCCAGGTAGGTGCTTGTGCCACTGATCTATATCCCCTGGCCCCTTTTTTTCTTTAAAATAAAAGAAATTTCAAAAAAAGGGAAACAATTGGATGACAAAGTGTGTTACAGTTTATATTTAGATGTTTCCCAAAATCCTCCTATGCTCTTAGATTGGCGTTTTAGAAAGTGATTGGATTATACAAGTTTATAGCTGACTTGCTCTTAGTAAATGAGGTCTGGTCAGAAGAGGTGGACTGCGGGTGGGACTGAGGTGGGTTCGTTGCTCTCCCTGTCTCCTCTGTTGCCTCTGTGCTTCCTGGTGGTCATGAGGTGAGTCACTTTCCTCCCTTGCAAGCCCTTCTAGCATACTGCTCGATTCCTGGAGCCAGTTGACTATGAACTTTAGCCCTTACAGAATGTGAGGCAGTTTAAACCTTTCCTCCTTTAAATTGTGGGTTCTGTGTAATATATCTCAGTGATAAGAAAGTGACCAAGCACCAGCTTCAGAGCCAATGTACTAAAGCCAAATCTCAAAGTCCAGAAACTTACTTATATGAAGTATCCAAGCCTGTGATCTCAGAGGATGCCCAAGTGTTGAGACATCCCAGTTCCTCGGTGCTCAAGAAAACAAAGGTATTTATGAATAGACCAATTGCCGTGAACCTATCTCCCAGAATTGTAAGGAGGAAAGCCAATCTCAGTTTCTATCTGAATTTTCTGCACTAGGTCACTAAGAAACAGGTAAAAGTGGCATAATGTCAAGGTCTCTATTTTTTCATTTATTTCCCTTATTAATTTTTCTCTTCCTCTTTTGTCCTCTTTTCTCCTTCTCTGCCTCTTCTGTCTCCTCCTGTTAGATCACTTAAGTTAAACAGAGGTTAAAAGGAAAACAAAAGTCTTTGTTACTTATTTTGATAATCTAAGAAATTAAACCAGGGGAGGTTAAAAGGCTGGTTACAAATATAAGGAAGAGAATGAGAAAAGAGAGCAATGGCGGTTAGTGACTCTTTGCATTTGGGGACGTTTGTCGAGAATCTTTTGGGCAGAGGCTGGTATATGTATCTGCTGCTACATCCAAAGTAACTGCTAAACCTATCTTCTTTGTAATGCTATTTATTCTGGAGTAGCTTCAGAGAATTTTAATTATAGCTATCTTAGTTGTGAAGACCCCCATGTCATGAGGACGTGATGATGTATTTTAGGTTGAGAAGTAGGACTCTAGAGAGTTAACCATGGAAACTTCAGCACTGTACGTCATTAACAATAACTAGTGAGGGGATGGATTTTCAACTAAACTTAGGAGAAGACCTTATATTGGTATCATTTTCAGTAAGACTATTTTGGAAACTTAAAGGTTGTACTAAGTATTCCTGATTTCATCCTTGAAAGAAGCCATTTGCACTTCTTATAAATGTGGTATTCTTCCTTACATCTTTAAATATTTGACCTGATTTTTAATAAATTACATTGTATCTCTCCAAAGTTTACATGTTGAAGCCCTAACTTCAGTGTGATTGAACTTGAAGATAAAGCTTTATAGAAGGGTAAATGAAATTAAGCAAGGTCATAAGTTTAAACAAGCTGATGCTACATTGGACTAATTATATCCTTATAAGACGCTGCACCAGGATGAGAACCCTCATCAGAAATTGAATGTACTGACACTGTCTTCTTTGACTTTCCAATCTTCACCACTGTGAGAAAATAAATATCTATTGCTTAAGACAGCCTTAAGCTGTATGGCACCTGGCTACGGCCACCAAGATCTCCTGCACACCCACCCATACTGATATAACACTTTTATTTCTAAATATAATTGGTTATGTTAGGTATAATCATAATTTCATAGAGTACGTTCTGATTAGTTTTTACAATGAAATCTGATTTCCATTGGTGTTCTTCTAAAAGTCATTAAAGCTATCAATGATAGTAATAATATTTCAGATAATTTTAAAGCTTCATTTTAAAACACTATCTGTCCTTTCATTCATGTGTAATGGTAACAAGATATGAGGTTTCTCAATCATAGCCAGTATCTTACAAATCATATGATTATAGTCCTTATAAAATGGCACCTCAGTTACTAAATAAATAATGTGACATACAGAGTAATGGAATTACAAAAATCTATGAGACAGAAAAGCCACCAAGAAAATAGACAGTAGTAAAAGAATTCTGTTTTCACACAAAGAAGGTGAATGCTGAACGTGCAATCATCAGTATCTGAACATAAATTTGTCTTTTGTTTTACTGCTTTGCTGAATTATGAGTTTGGCAGATAAGACAGATATCAGAAAGAATCTTGGAAATTTTGAGTGAGACTGGTTTAAAAATTCTGGTTTAATATTGCAGATAATTTATCTATGCTGTGGGTATAAGTGAAACTTTTCTAAGTAATGGATTATTAGCCAGAACAAAAGTGATCGGAAATCTCTTTTAGTTAGTAGACAATTAGTTTATGAATAGATATTCAATGATTACCTTGAGAATGAAAACCTCTTTATCCATAGTAAGCACATTGATGACTGCCTAGGGCCTTTCATTTTAGTGTATAAAACATACTAAGTGACTGCTGCTTATCCCTGAGTGACTTCTGTGTAACATTTAGAAGCATAAATCAGTTCATAGACAAATAATGTACCAATGTTTGTGCTGGAAAATTAGCACACTTTGGACCTAAAAAAGTATGCAATCATTAAAATATACACATGTACATTTATGAAAATCAAAGTATTTAATTTTTTTCAAAAGCAGTTATTTTGTATTATATGTACAAATACTTAAATGAACATAATATCACCTAATGTTATTTGTATATCCTTATAAAGTTTAGATTATTACAACATATGAGTAAGGATAAAAACTAAAACAAAATTTCATTATATATACATAATTATATATATACATATATATGATGCTGCTTAAAATGAACTATAAAAATTGAAATATCAAACAGTCTGAACTACCTTAACAATCTTTTATAATAGGAAGAAACAATCATTTTGGTACCTAGCACCCACACTGGAAAACTACAGATATCTGTTATTTTCAAATTCATGTCTGAATTTGGGAATGACCAAAAAAAAAAAAAAAAAAAGAGAAAGAAAAGAAAACATTCCACAAAAGACATAGACAGAAGCCATATATTTCAAAGAAATAAGATTCTTTAATAAGATATAATGTTTTTAGCTATTTAAATAATGCTTTGCAGAACATTAATAATTTACTTTTAGAATATGCTATAATTACTGAGAGTAAGCAATCCATGCTGGAGATAAAAAATGAGGCTTTTCTATTTTGGCCAGGAATAACATTTTACAGAAAAAAATGTGACCTTAATATTTGTATTTATCCAATAGCATTTTCCAGGAAGGATTCATAAACCATTCCTTTATGACTAAATTCATTAACATTGAATCAAATTTGTTAGGATATTTAATATATTTTAAATTCAGTTTTATTATCCATATTTATTTTATAGTCAAATACACATATGCAACATATATATATATATAATTAGACATATGTCTAATTTTAAGTTAGACAAACATAAAATTATTTAGGTACATGATAAAAATAAACATTAAATTTAGTTTTAGAAAGTAATTTGTAATATCAATACGTCAAGTAAAACAGTGTGTATTTTTGTTTCCAATTCTATCTGAATCAAACATGATGGATTTCATCAGAAAATGACTAGCTATACCTTTCATGTATATATTTTTGTATAACATTTCAATATTTAGCATAAATTCAAATATTTATGGTAATTCTTTCCTTAATATAATCAACTTTTAGTACTCCACATACAGGAGAACCCAGAAAGCTGGAAATTCAAAATGTTTGGTTTTTTTTTTTAAGAGCAGTAATTTTGTATTATATTTGCAAATACTTAAGTGCAAACATAATATTACCCAAAGATCCTGATAAAGTTTAGATTTTTCCAACATAAAAATAAGGAAATAATTACCAAAATGTTAGTTTTTTCTTACTTTGGTCTCACCCAGTTATGTAAAAATTAAGTATTAATGTAATTTGATTTAATTGTGAATTATTAAATTTTAAAAGGATATTACAATTATAATTAATAAATAGAAGACCTTACAATTTTCAACATTATAGAATGAATATGTATAAAATATTCATTTTTACTGTTTCACTTACACACAAATTTGTATTATGGAGATTATAAACATTAGTAGAAAAAAAGATGTTTTTGTTTTTCGTCTTTTTGAGGCAGGGTTTCTCTATGGAGGTTGGACTGACCTTGAACTCACTTGTAGACCAGGCTGGCCTCAGAAGCACAGTGATCCTCCTGCCTCAACCTCCCAAGTGCTGAGATTATAGGCATGCAGCACCATACTCAGCCCAGGATAATGTATTCTTTACTCATAAAATAATTGTAGAAAATTACAAATTTCAAAGTATGTGATATTTTGCATTAATTAGTCTTATATGAAGTAGAAAATTAGATGGAGATTAATTTTGTATAACACAATCTTGAAGGAGATTCAGAAATTTCAAAGTCACTTATTCTGACAAGCCATCTACTTTTCAGGGATATTTAATGATCATTTTCATTGCAAAACCCCCTATAGTTGTGTGCTAGTAATCAAAATGTTAAACATTCTTTGAGTAATTACTTTAAAATACATATTATTTTATTTTTTTTTTAATTTTTATTTTTTTGGTTTTTCTCCAGTACTGGGAAGCGAACTCACGACCTTGCGCTTGCCAGGCAGGCGCTTTGCCGCTGAGCTAAATCCCCAGCCCCTAAAATACATATTATTTTAATGGGACTTGCAGGTATAACTTTCTTTAACCAATATTTGAAAGGTCAATAATAGTTTAATAAATTTGTCTTAGTGTTTTAGATGTACTACTTTGACTATATAGTTTTTAGTTGCACATAATGACAAAAACATATTTTGTTAGTGTGAATAATTTAAAAAGAAAATAGTGAGAGCAGTAGGAAAGGAACTAAAACAAGTAGCTACAGGAAGAGGAAGCGGAATCAGCTTTAACGAAATAAATTCTCACTGTAAAAAGTATTTTCCCAATAGGAAGACTGATGTAGGAAGTCCATTTTCACATGTATACACAGATTTGTTATATTTGGTTTAAATAAAAATATCTTCCTCCTATGTATTCTTTTTCTTTTAAAGACAAAAACAATAATCTTCTTGGAATTTCTTTTCTTCCTGTTCCAATCGGCCTCTCACATTCACACTTTGCTTATCGCAAAATGCAAATCAGCCATGATCATTTAAAGATTCCCTTGTAAATATCCCCCATGCATTCAAATATGTCAGCATATTGGTCTGAAAATGGCAATTTTGCTTTGCTTTGTTTTGTTTTTCAAAACTGCACTTTTATTACCTCTACATCTGAAGGGGTTCGTGACCAGTGTTACGCTTTTGGATACTGTCTTGGTTACTTTTCTCTTGTTGCTGAGACAAAATACCCAGTGCCCAAAATGAAGGAAGGAAAGGTTTATTTAGCTTACAGTCTGTGGAGGTTTCAGTCCATACTTGGTTGGCTCCGAGGCAGAAGATAGCAAAGCAACAAGAGCAAAGGGGGGAATGGCAGCCGAACAGCAAACAGCCAGAGCAAACCGGGGAATGGTGGCTAGCCCCTTCTTTCCCTGCCTTACTTTGTAAACAGGCTACCCCCACCTAAGGGGCGTGTAGCTCTCACATAATCTCTATGCCCTCCTCTTCCACAGGCTCAGGATGTATACAAAGTAAGCACCCTGGCGTCCTGCTGAGTCACTTAGCCAAACCCCTAGACTCCCCAAGTTGACACAATGTATCAACCATAACAGGCATTTTTTAAAAAAACAATAAATGGAGACCTTTCTTTAAGAAAAATGCACATGTTCGCTGAACAGGTAGCAAAGCACCCCACAGTCCCCGCCTCTGCTGAGGGAGCAGCCCCGAGGAGACCCACGCTGCACCCTAGAGGCATCCAGCAAAGCAGCCCCTCGGTGCCGCCCTGTCCCCGCAGCTGGGATGAGGGCAGCTTTCCCCCGAGGGCATTTTATCCTGAAAGCAGGTGCAGACCACTCGGGAGACGCTGCCCAAGGCAGACTTGCTCTTGTTGGGAGCCAAGCGCACACAACAGGCAGCGCAGATGGCTTAATCTGCAGGATGCCAAGTGTAGCTGCCCCTTGCTGCCCTTGAGCGTCCACACGGAGGTCATGACCCGGTTACTCTCAGGGGCCCCTCCAGTGCTGTCACCTGCCCATTGTGCTCCGTGAGCTCACGCACCTTGTGCACTTGGCCCCGCTCCCCTTGTAAGTGTGAACCTCGTAGTGGTTGGGGCACATGGCAATCCGTGTGCGCTCTTGTTCCAGACCCTTCAGCTGATGGGCTCCACCAGGAAGCTGTTTGGATCCTGGGGCCGACACCACCGCGGATCCAAAAATGGCAATTTTGAACTCTCCCGTCCGTCCAAAAAATGTCCCAGAAAATAAACAGAGGTCTCTTCACTAAGGGCCATGATTGCAAATGCCCAAGCCACACTTTCTGGAAGAGGTGTGGGACAGTACTCCTCCGACTGACTCACCTTCCCTCTGCCAAGAGGTCACCCTGAGTGACGGGAAGTTAACACTGAAGGAGACAGATCTGCAAGTTCAAATCTTTATTAGCTCAAGGTTTTATTAAAATGTAGCAGTCACAAAGATGGCTTTTTGGCCGGGTCTGGTGGCACATGCCTGCAATCCCAGCACTCAGGAGGTTGAGGCAGGAGGATCATTGTGAGTTCGAGGCCAGTCTCGGTTACATAAGTGAGTTCAAGGCAAGCCTGAACTGCACAGTGAGACATTGTCTCAAAAATACAAAAAAGAAAAAAGATGACTCTTAAAATACATATAGATATATATCTTTATCTTAATATTTTGTACAAACCTATCACAAAAAGACTGTTATTACCTGGTCATCATAGATACATCTATACTCTAATATTAGCCCTGAGAAAATAGCATCTTTCTCTTCTATAGGAAAGTAAGGGCAATTTTATAACTTCTCACAGACACAAACTCTTGGCTGTAATGAATGGCACAGATTCATACACCTACTCTCATGAGGACAACCAGATAATCTATAAAAAGACTTTGTGGGGCTGGGGATTTAGCTCAGCGGCAAAGCGCCTGCCTGGCAAGCACAAGGTCGTGAGTTCGGTTCCCAGTACCGGAGAAAAACCAAAAAAAAAAAAAAAAGACTTTATTTAGGCTTGATGATATGCCATAAATATAATAACATAAATTATTATAGACATATAAAAACATTGATCAAGACAGAAGAATTCACCAGAACTCTAAAGCTGATTAACAGCAAGTTCTCTCTGGTCCTTGTGGGCTTTCCTTTTCTGCTTTTTATTTAGCAAAATACTCTGCTTTTGGCATTACTTTTTTCAGTGTTGTTCTATCCAGGTTAGTTATTGGTGAAATATCTGAAACCGGTGCCCACTGTTTTGAATTAACATGGTACAAACAAGATTATCTGTACTGAAACACTGAAATGCTCTTTTAGGGTGTAGAACTGACCACATTTTCTGAAAAAAATTCCTTTCAGATGTGACCTCTTCAATTCTGGACTTCATGAAGTGTCTTGATTATTCTTCCCTTTACCCTTCTCGCAATACCAAATTTAAAAACCTGCTTTAATTCCCCAAATGAAACATTTCTTTACAGGAACACGTTAACTTTGGATTTTTGCCAAGGTATATTCATAATCCCTTAAAATATTGCCTCGGTAGTATTTACTGGCTTCTGATGTAGGCAGAGGTCAGGCTCAGTTTGTGCACAAACAATTCACTATAATAGCAGCATTTTTAGAGAAAAAATTACCAAGTAAATTTCAATGGATATTATCAACTTGGTGTTTTGATGCCTTTTCAAAGCATAACACATCCTCAGGACTGTTAGCAAACTTAACAATGTTTGTTTTCATTTAAGATAGTAAATATGCATGTGTTATAAGCAATTGTTTTACCTGCATGACTACACTTTTTCTAATCTCTCTGTTTTTTTTCCAAGCTTGGAAAATAGGCCAGATCAAAGGCAAGAAACTATAGCTGCCTTTCTTACAAGGTGGGAAAAAGCTCAAGCTATATTTATTTCATCACTAAAAGGTACATTTAGTCACAGGATAATATCCTATGACTTCCTTTGTCCCTGTACGCTTCTTTTTATGATTTTCAGTGGAAATTTTCCAGACAATGGATATCTTTCACAGCACTATATAACTAAGTGTTAATTTTATAGTGGTTGTCTGCAAATGTGAACTCGTTCATATTCTCTCAAGAAATTCCCATAAGTGTGAGGTACAGCATATCCTTTACAATCATTCATCTTAATCTTCCACCAAAGAAAAATAATGTTGCATGTGAGAATATTTTAAAGTGACTGATGAGGTTATTGAAAGAACAATAAATTGTTAGTCATAATGAAAATACATTGACCTGCTAAGCGAACAACTATCTCATCTAGCCCTATTATATTTAGGAGAAGTAGAAAGAGAGTTTAAAAGACAATGACCTCAGATCTCCTTTCCTTGGCAAAGTTGCAGGGCTTGCTGTGGCAAAGTTTTCCAGGTAGTGACTTCTGTGGGGTGCAAATGAGCCGTGCAATATGGACTTTGCCAGCATACCGCCATCCTTTCACGCGTATACCCGGACCCATAATATACTCTGTCAACATGAATTACCTCACAAGTGGAACATAATGAAAATTCTTCTCTTTTAAAACCAGAAGAAGTTAGGCTTGGTGGTGCATTCCTGTAATCCTAGCATTTGGAAAGCTGAGACAGGAAGATCGCCCTGACTTTGAGGCCAGCCTGGGATACATAAGCTAGTTCAAGGTCAGCCTACACACTACATAGAGAGAACTTGTCTCAAGAAAAAGAAAAGAAAAGAAAAGAAAAGAAAAGAAAAGAAAAGAAAAGAAAAGAAAAGAAAAGAAAAGAAAACAAGGAGGCTTTGGCTTCTGCTTTGGTCTCTATCTCTATTATTCTCCTTTACCAGCACATTATTGGAACTGACCCTCTCTCTTTCCTCCAAATGCACTGTTCTGTTTCTCTTAAGGGTCATCATTCCACCTATCCCTATCTCCAGATTTTACTCCCCAGAACTTCACAGGATAATTCTTTCATTTGAGAATCAGTTCAGTTGCTACATTTTTATTTAGGTTGGATGACTGATTAAACACTTGAGCTTGCTCCTCTGGAATATAAGAGCCGCCATACAACGGTCTCTGTCTTATTCACTGCTGCGTGTGCACAGGGCTTGTAACAGGGCAAGTGCATTAGTCAGCATGTTCACTCCTGGAACTGAGCACAGGACACACACATCTTAAAGAAGGAAGATTTGTTTTCTGATGGTCTCAGATGTTTCAGTCCAGGGTTGGCTGGCTCCAGGGCAGGACCATCACCGAGGAAGGGCACGGTGGAGAAAATTCTCATTTCATTGCAGCTACAAGCAGAGCACAGGGCAAAGCAGCGGGGAGGAAGGGTCACTCCTGTGGTCTACGCACTCTTTGAAGTGCATTTTACTTCTCTTCTAGGGGGCTCCCTAGCCAGTCAAGCCCATACTACTGCAGTAGATCAGGGAGTACCTACGGAGTCTATGTGCATTTGTTGAACGAACAACTCATGACCTCAAAGCTAGTAATTGTTGAAAGTACACAAGCAAATGTTGAACGTGCACAGTATCACAGAAGCACAGGTGCAACGGTTTTTATGAGATAGCTATCATAGTTTAGCTTATTTAGAATAATTGCAACTTAAACCAGCTATTCTCAACCAGAGACTAAAACATGCATATGAATTGTATATAAATACACTAATTTATTTTAAAGTTGAAGTGATTTTTTTGTTTTTTTTTAGTCTGCAAGTCTACAATATGGAAGACATGCCAGGAGGCAGAAGACTAAGAGACAAACTGATACTGTAAAAGACATTCTGGAGTCAGAACCTTAGATGAACTCATCTCATCTGCTCAAAATCAGCTTTAAATGTCAATGTTATCTGAAAAAACTGCCTCAGAGAAATATCTAGACTGTTGTTTGATGAAACATCTGTGTACAAAGTCTTAGGCAAGCTGATCATAAAATCAAATCACATAAATTAAACGTTTAAATGTTCAAAGACAATTTTTTGTGCATGTACTGTTTTCCACCTTTACTTTCCCAAGAAAAATAATTCTTCATGGAAATTAAAACTATCTTTGAAATTTAATGGTGTAAATATATTTTTCTTAAAATTTGGAGAATTCATCTTTTGTATACATGCTTTTCAACCTCGTTTTGATTGTGAAAAGACAACCATATTCAAGTTACATCTGTTAATGAAAATTTACTGAAGAAATAGATGGAGAAGAGAGAATATAAGAAAGTGTCATCAGAGACACAGATGATCTATATGGAGTACTTAGTGATTAAATGACCAGTTAGTCTTCCTTTCTGTTCATTATATTTTGATTGGGTGAGGTCTGTGCTGTTACTTCTGTTTCTGTTATGCACATCCTCTTTTTGCTACATTTTGAAAGTATCTTCCTTACCTAAGGATTCAGATAAAATCTGACTATAGCCAGGCAGTTAATATTAGCCAAGAGTAATTTTGCTAGACCGTATTCTCATGCCTTGTACTCCAAGTCCCCAGCCAGCTTCACTAAAGCATCCCTTTTCAGGTCCTCATCCAATAAAGTGCAGGTTGAGTAAAGTTCATGTTGTACAGATTGTGGACTCCTATATGGAAAGAGTTATCTTCTACTATTTGTTTAGAAGCAAGTTTTGCAGTTTGCCACCTCTTTTGGGATTATAGCCAGCACCACCAAGACATGGACAGGGACATTGTTATAATAACTTCCAGAACAAAGGACTTGGGAAAAAATACTGTCTCACGTAGGCATTGCAAGTTTAATATATATGTACATATGCATATGTGTGTGTGCTTTGTCTCTTAGAACCACCACAGATCACAACTGGAGTTATGCGTGTAAAAAGCCCCCATGATAAATGGATCTTTATCTACTGCAGACAGTAAACATGTACTGATTACCAAATTAACAGATAAAATATGATTAAATATAAAATTAAAAAACAAAAGAGAGGGCCGGGATATACCTCAGCAGCACAAGCATCTGCCTGGTAAGCCGAGGTCCTGAGTTCGATTCCTGGTACCAGAAAATAAATAAATAAATAAATAAATAAAAGAGAGATACAAAAGTGTTTAAAATTGTTAGGACATGGTGTCTTCTGAAAAGCCAAACATAATGATATGGCTTTCTACTGTTAAAAATATATATTTTGCAAACAAGAAAACAAATTACCTAAACAATTACCAAAGGTAAGTGATGCACATAATAGTCATTCTTTAATCTACCATTGGGATAATGATGATAGTGTAGCTATTGCCGAATTACTGAAAATGAAATGGTACAAAGAAGTCAGGAACAAAATCATATGAGATGTATCAAACAAGCTGGTAAGTAAATAAATAATCAAAGATGGTGGAAAAACAGAAGTAATCAATGCTTTTCACAGAATTTTCAAATGGTGTTTAACTGAATCATCCCAGGAATCTGGTTGAAGGACGTTTGTTCAGAGAGGGATCTACTAGTTCATTTCATTGGTCTTAAGCTTGCCTCACCTTACTTGTGATAATAAAGCCTATAAAGCAATAATATTGTTAGAAATATTTAAATACTCAGTGAAAAGACACAAATTGGCCTCATTTACTTTTTTTTTCATTAGTAAAAGCAAATACTTGTACCAAAAGATACTTTTAAAGGTTCCCTTTTTAAACTCACTTAGCTGTCAAACTTATTTCAATAACCACCCAGCTAAATAACAGCCATAGGTTTTAGACCTACTATTTCTACCATATTTGTTTCAAGCTTCATTTTATTATGAGAAAGTGTACAAATCACATGAGTCTTAATGTGGTGTGCTAAAGGAAGATTTTTCTTTCCACATATCGAATCCATAGTCTTTTTTTTTAACAGTTTGGGGCCCAGTCCTTGGTTTTCAAATAAAAAGTTGAGGCAATTTTGAACTGAGCTAATTACATTTCACTTGCTCTACTTCTGACATTTTCTTGCCATTTTTAGTTCCTTGTCAATGACATGATATCTAGGCAGATATTCCCTTTGGCATTGACTTATTATCCTTTCCATGTTTTAACATCACCCTAATAGTATTTTAATAACTTGTGTTGCACTTTTGTTTTGCAAGGAGATAAAGCACAACAATATGAAATGAAGAAAAACATTTTAAAATAACAGGTTGAAGGTAAGAATATTTATTCAAGTAGCAGATCGTGAGTTCTGATGAATGGCAGGTGTGAGATATGAAGAGCATCAACCCCTCTGCGTGTCTCGCTCTCACTTCTCTCTGTATAATGGTGTCCTAGACAGACATAAACACAAGTAATTTTGCTCTATCATATTTGACATAAAGAGGTTTTATATAGTGCTCTGAAGTTCTAATTTATAATATTTAATTTGTTTTAAATTCTTAACTTCTGACTAGAGTTGAGGTAATAAGAATCAAATCCTCAACTCTGAAGGAAAAGAATCAAGTGAATTCTAAAGAGGAGTAACAGAATAGAATAAGAAAAACAGTTCCAGTCTATCATTAAATGTGCAAGGAAAATGCTATTCATGGGACACTTCTATTACAAGGGATAGTAACTGATAAATATGGCCCCAGTCCCCTAATAAAAACAGAGTGAGTATTTTTAATTTATCATATTTTTAAACTTACTAATCACTATAAAATACGATTTCCATTTTCCCTTCTCAGCTGATGTCTTTGTCATTATATGTGATTTTGCTTTATTGTCTTCAGAAGATTCTTCATTTAACTGAAATTAAGCATGAACTCAGTCCCTCATGCGACCACCTTAAGAAATAAACCTCCTCATGCACTAGCGTTTAGCTCACCTGCAGATATAGGTGTAGCCTGAAGAAGGACATTTTTAAGCATGCTTCACACAAAGGTTCTTAGTAACAGACGATTGTCTGGATGACTTTGAGCATGTTGACATTATCCAGCTGATTTTGAAAAGTTGAAACTTTAATCAACTAAGAACAATATTTGGAAAATTTACTATGCTTTGTAAATTTATCTTTTCTTTTAATTTGGTAGAAAATATTCTTCTCTTCCTAAAAAATCAATGGTAAGAGAACTAAACTTTTAAATCATGGAATGAAACTACATTTATCTAGGGAAAATAAACTCAAAGAATATAAACCAGAAAAGTGCAAATCGGTTTTAAAATACACTTTTAAATAGCTATCAAATGCAGTGCACGCTCCATAAACTGCAGACGGCTTCCTGAATAAAATATGAGGACATGTAGCTCTGTGACTATCTATCGCTTTTAGTTGAAAAAAAAAAAAATTCTGAAGAAAATCTCTAAATAGGCCATCCACTATCTGCAAAGGAATAAACAAAGTAGCCGGTAGTGACAGTGTTTGCTTTTCATGCGGTGGAACTGTGTGCAAATACGAGGCCTAACAAATGTCAGCTCCTCATTTGCAAATGAAGATGTAAAGGGAAATGTCGGTGACAGTACATGCAACAGCTCATATCTGAAGTTTGGCACGGTGAACTGACAGCCACAGAGGAGCTGCAGCGGTCTAATCCTTGCTTTCTGCCTTCCAGCAATGATAGCTGGGAAAGGGGGGCTGGAGTTAATAAATACGTGATGAGGACAAGCTGGGGGAAGAACGGCGTATCTTCTCCCCTGCAAGAACTCATCTTCAGAGATAATTAACTAGGTGACAACATACCATGTGCCATTAACAACAACATTCAGATCATTTCTGGACTTAAGTACAGTTTTAAGCCACTTATCGGATTTTCATTTCTGAACCCATTCAGCTGTCAGGCTTACATCCTGGCTCTTTATTGAAGCTCACACGGGACTCCAAAACCTTCTAATTTCCTATACAGATTCATTTCAGAATCAATTAGAGTTGGTGGCAGCCTTGTCCCTGTGTGCAAAGGGGATTAGCTGGGCACTTGCTCAGCTACCCCTGCATGTACATTCAACCTTCCATCGAGAATGAGCGCTTTCTCCTCTCTTTTGGAGCGCTCTTCCTCAATTGAACCGCTGTAGACAACAGATGGCAGATAATCACTCGAACAGCCTCCAATTTTGTCAGAAAAGGAGAAGTGATCGTCAAACTCTCTCTTAGAGTAGGTAAGAGACCTCTGGGCATTTGAAGCATGCTCTGCTTTTAAAATAGGGAAATCTGCAGTCGTTCCTTTTCCTCTGGCAATCTGCTAACAATGTCATCCTGGCATCCTTGTTCCTGACTTTCTCTCATCAGCTCGAGGAACATCTTCTCGACCCCGCCGCCTGCTCATTGCATAGCTTGCTCACCTCATTTTCCTGAAATCTTTGTTCTTCTTTCATGCAGCCAAAGGCGTCTTTAATATTAATAATAAGACCCTTTAATTTTATTCTTTCAGGAATGATTAATGTTGCATCTCAGATACAAAATCCATCCTGTACTGATTATTTTGCAGATAAAGTACTATATGAATAGTCTACAACTTTGTTACCACTTATCACAAAAAGTAGGAAATCCACTGTGGAATACATAAACAAGTGTGCTTATTTTTCATTTTTCCTTCATTCTGCTGTGTAATAAATATTAGATGTCCTTTGTCTTACTAAAATTATTTACACTTTTAAAATTTAAAATTTTGGTAAAGTATGCTATCTTCTTAGTTTAAAAAATAAATTACAAGTGTTCCAGTAAAAATAAAAGTTAACACCCTCTACTATTTGGTGTGTTTCAATTGTTTTACAAACTTTCTTTTCTATAATCTTCCCTCATATTTCACAATACTTTGCTTACTTTACTATTTTAAAACCTTTAAATTTTAAATCTTGCATATTGACTTATCCATCAAAATGAAATTGGTTAAAGTCACTCACTGAGTGAGTTCACTGAGGCTGCCATCTTGGATCAGTTTTGCCTGGTCCACATAGATTGGAATATGAAGAGTAGCTTGGGGTGTGGATTACATCAGTGCTCCAAGCACACCCTTTGGCCTCCTATTTTTCCAACACAATACTTATTTACAGTTTAGGCTGCCTGTAGTTATGAGAGGTGGCCTGATTTCTTATTGATAAT